AAACTTTCTGCTGTTGTAACGCACAAGCAAAAATAAATAAATAAATAAAAATTCTCTCTTTCTTCTTCTTCTTCTTCCACTCTCTTTAAAACCTAGAGATCACAAATTTATAGATAACAAGATTTTTCATTTGGAATATATATATATATATATATTGGTAAATTAATTAATTAATTAATTACCCTTGGTGTTTTGGAAAACTATAATCTATGCATTTACTCCCCAACAATATTCTTGATTTTGACAAATTTTGGATTCCTTGGATGATAAAGTTGTCTTTTCACACTTCAAGGGTTAGCTAAGGGTGCAATTTTGTTCTTTTAAACTTCTCACTCTTTGGTTTATTATTAATTTTATATATTTTATATATTCTTTTGAGAAGTTGAAATTATATAGGTGAGTAAAGAAGGTGTTGGGACTTCATTTTAATTGAGTTTATGTTTGTGTTAGAATAATACTAATTAATGAATACAAATTTGAAGATAAATTATATACTAATATAAAAATACTTAATAAGATTATTTTTTAGATAATTATTTTGTTTTTGACAATTGGCTTATAAACCGTACAATTTATATCCATGTGTTTCTTTGCTTTGTGTTGTTATCTATTTTTTTTTTAACTAAAAACCGATAATTATTAAATTTTTGTTTCTATTTTTAAAATTTCACTAAAATTTCAAATGTATATGGGTAAGAATAGTTTTTTTTTTGGGAAGAAAGACATTACACCATTTTAAAAATATGCAAGAAATATACAAAGATAAACTTAGAAAAAAGCACTCTAGTTAAAAGAGATAGAGGAATGTCGTAATTACAAAAAAAATATATATATATCTCGATTTGAATGATCAAGAGGAAGCAACGGTAAGAATATTAGTGAAACACGTACAAAGAAAGGAAATTGAGAGGAAGTACATATAATTTTTTAAAATACAAAACTAATAGTAAAATCAATTATCCAACTCTTTTGAGTTTGAAATTAAAAAAAAACTATTATTTGTTTTGTAAGAACAAAGTTTCACTAAAAATACGTTTGGTTAACAATTTTGTAGAAGTTATTTTTTACTTAATTTGTTCTTGTGAGTAGCTCATTTTTTCTCTCTCTCTCTCTTTTTTTTTTTAAGAATAGTTGTGTTGTTTTATCGATTTTACACAGTTATTTACATATCATTGTTCACTGTTCCAAAAATATATAGATTTCATATATTGAAGAAAAAACTATCAAAAAAATCCTTGAGTTGGTTTTCAAGAGGTATTATTTACTTCACTTGACCAATGTAATAAGACTCTAAAATAAACCAAAGCGAGCATAACTTAGCGGTAATTGACATATAAACTATGAGGTTGTGAGTTCGATCYCCCACTCCCACATATTGTACTAAAAAAAATAAGACTCTGAAATAAGTAAATTTAGTATATATTCCAACATGAGCGTAACTCGACTGGTTAAGACATATATTATTAATCAAAAGGTTGAAAGTTATAAGTTAAGACATTAAATTATATGTTTAGTCCCTAAACTTTTAGAGTTATGTCTAATATGCTCTTGAACTTTAAAAAGTGTATAACAAATTAAATACCTATTAGATACCTCATTAAAATTGATAGTTCATAGATATCTGAGTTATACAATTTTTAAATTTAGGACGAACTTGTAATTTTACCTTAATAATTTTATTTACTTTCTAAACCAATCAATTAAACTAATAAATCTCAGGATCTAAAATTATTGTGGATGTGACTATAACGTTTCATTTCAATTAAGGAAAAATATCTTTAATCTGTGCGGATCGCTAATTGAACAAGATATATATATTAATAAACTTCTTTTAAAGGTGGTAGATTAATTTCAAATTTCGATTCAAAAATATTTGAATTATATTACTAGCTAGTATTAAAAATACAAACAATATTAGATGAGAAGTTTGATGGTCCTCTATAATTTTGCTACATTAAGAAACGAACAAAGTTCATCGCGACTTTTATAAGTAAGATATATTAGATAGTATATTGTAAAGATAAATTCACATTAATTTAGGGCTAAAGCAAATAATATCATTATACAACCTCTTATCCTAACCTAAGTATTAATTATTATTATTATTATGTACATCAATAAAGTAAATTTTGATGGAGCTAGATAAATCTTTAGGGAACATGAAAACGACAATTTATCTTGGTTTTCCAAAAGCAAATGAATATCCATTTTTGGTTGGATAAAGATCATATAGTAGTAGCAAGATTATTTGTCTAGCCCTAAAGCTAGGCCTAAAGTTCAAGTGGGCATCATTAAGAATGAACAACCCTCTTCCTAGCTTCAAAATGATTATTAACTTGTTTAAATCAACATGCCACATGATTCTTCCCCATTTTTACAATGTGTAACGCGATTAAGTTCCCCCGTACAAAATCTTAAGTAAAAATATTGATGTGTGATAGCTGCATCCTAATTTATGTTGGGAGATGTGATTAGCATGATCTCAGTTAAAGATAGAGAATAATATCTCACGAATGTTGTAGGTTATCGATGATATTTAATCTTTGTTAGAGATCTTTTTGGTGAAATCAAAGGCAAACCATAGTGGCTTAAACCTAAAGTGGACAACAATATCATACACCAAAGTAGGAATATGGAGAGGTCCGTTATAACAAAACTAATACTGTTTTTCTCTCTTTGTTTTGGTGTGGTGAAGTAGTTTCAGGGCTTGATGTTGACACGCCCAACGTCCAGGTTCGAGTCTCACTTCTGTTTGTGTTAGATAATGTTAATTTGTTGGTAATGTAAACATAGTTCATTTTTCAATCAATTTTAATCTCTACAAGGGGTTAAGCTGAACGAACAGACGATCTCTGTCTTCTCCTTTGTCATTTTTCAATCAATTTTAATCTCTTCCAATATATTGTTGGTAATGTAAACATAGTTCTACATCAACTAAAAATAGAAAGGTTCGTGATAATAAAAGAAGGATAACATCTCTATTGCTATAAAGTTTTTTTTATTAAAAAAAATGTGGGCTAATTACCAGCTGAAATGGACAACATCTAATTTTTTGAATTTTAAAAGATGAAAATATGATGATAATCAAAAAGTCTAAAAGATTCCTTTTGGGGTAAATAATATATTTTATTTCATTTACTTCAAAGTTTTGACTTTTTTAGTCTTATTTTACTTCAGTTTTTCACTTTTGGTCATCAAATTAATCAGTTAGAATTCAAACACTTTGAAAGCACATAGCCTAATTAATTGTCAAATTAAAAAAGGTTTTGGAAATTGTAAGAATGTTGGGAGGTTCAAAAGATAATATAGATTGATTTAATTATATTGATGAGGACTATTAATATGGTGCATGTGAGTAAAAATACCAATAATTGTTTATATTAAAATATTAATTAAAAGTGATTCAAAATATTATATAATTATATTAGTAGGAAATAATAGATTAGTATACATTAATTAGAATATTAAATAATGATATAACTAATAAAAATATTTATAGTAAATTTGAATATAGTTCCATGAATAAGGCCCTTGTTACCGTAACGAGACTAAAAATGAACCTATTGTCTACAATTTTGTGCCCGAATATGTTCTATTTTTCTATTGTTTCGTTTAATTGATTTATCATTATTGTTGTTGTTTTAGTTTAATAGGATGGAAGATTCATTCACCTAATATTAATAATAAGTGTTTCTGAGTTATATTTGTATTGAGAAATTTTTATTTTCATCTGCTGCATAAATATAATATTAAGAGAAAATTCACATAAGTGTTTTTTTTACTGTCTTTTAATTACATTTGAATTTGAGTTTGAATTGTGATATTTTTTTAAAATATTTCAAACTTCCTTCTTTATAGATGCTGATCTAGAAAATAATTTTTGGAAATTAATTTTAAATTTTTTAAGATAAATTATTTTTTTAGTGCTTTTTTTTTGCTAAAACTAAAAATTTGGTTAATAAATTTTAGAGTGGTGTCTAATAAGTACTTCAACTTTAAAAAAATTTCATTAATAATTAATAATAACTTTAAAAAATATTTTATAAGCTCTTAAACTTCATGTTATATATTTAATAAATCCTTAACCTTTTAAAACCGTGTCTAGTATATTTTTGAACTAGTAAGTTTGTATCTAATAAGTTCTTGTAACTTCTACAAATCTCTAAAAAAAAAAAAATCAAGAACTTGTGTACATTAATGTAAAATATATATTTAAAAAAAAGTAAACTTTACCATTCATTTCAAACGCTAATAATGAACTATTTTTCTTTTTATATTATATGCTTTTTAATCCTTACCAAATTCCTAAACGTTTTCTAAATATATACCCAAGGTGATGGTACTTTAGTAAAGATTTCTTACGAAATAAGAGAGATTTTAATTAATTGTAGGAAAAAGAGAAAGATTTCATTCAGAACATTAATTATTGCTACCATAGGCTTAATCATTTTGTTTTTTCCCCCTCTCTACAATCAAAACTTACAAATTCTACCTACCCTAAAATTTTAAATGAGTTAATTTTAATAATAAAATAATGAAATTGCAAAAAATATATAATAATAAAAAATAAATAAATAAATGAAGGGTTAAATTAATTTATTGCCTTCATTAAGGGCTTTTCAATAAAATACGTGTTCAACTAGTGATTTTATGCCATCTTCCCGAATTTCAACGC